CGTCTGGGGACACACAAAAGAGAGTCCCGTTGAGTGGGGAGTTTCTCCCTCCGCTTTTCTCTTGTTCTGGCCATAGAGCTGTCGGGATGATGCGAGACTAATATCGTCACTACCTGTCAAGGTTCCTAGACGGACATTACAAACGAAGCTTCAGCGACATCAACCAGGAGCTCTCTGCTAACCGCTTCAACTAACCGCAGAGCTGCTTTTGTGTGAATTTCAGTGACGCGTTAATCTGTTTATAATCTTGTAGATGGAGAATAGCGACGTCTGGGGACACACAAAAGAGAGTCCCGTCGAGTGGGGAGTTTCTCCCTCCGCTTTTTTCTTGTTCTGGCCATAGAGCTGTCGGGATGACGCGAGACTAATATCGTCACTACCTGTCAAGGTTCCTAGACGGGCATTACAAACGAAGCTTCACCGACATCAACCAGGAGCTCTTCGCTAATCGGTTCATTCGTTTTCGAATTCCTTTTCCTGACTTTTTAACAAGATATTGGTGTGCCCAATGTGATACTGCCCCTTTGACCACATATAGACCAAAAAATAAGCGCCGAAATTTCGTTGTAAGATCCCTTTAAAAGCCATTTGTTCGTGAAATGCTCATCTGCTATTCGGAATACTGAGGTTTTGCGACAAAAATACACAAGCGTAAGAAGTGAAAGGCAACACCGAAAAAAAAAAGTTTTACCCTTTTTTTTTTTTTTTTTTTTTTTTCTACAGTGAAGTAGATAAAGGTTTGTTTCCCCGGTTTCGAGTCCGCGGACCAATAAATCTCGAAACAACCCTCCGAACAGCTACCGCCATCTAAGCGACGGCGGCAACCAGACAACCGGCCTACCGGTGGTCTGGTTGCCGCCATCGCTCATAGATGGCAACACATAGTGCAGCTCCATTTGTCTTACTTCTCCACAAAAGTGGAAAGACTGGAAGTTCTGGGTGTTTTTGGCGTACAACCTCAGTATGCATCAGAACCAAATAGCCCAATTTGAAGTCTTAACTCCATTTATTTATTTTAAAACGTGCCCCTTTATACCTTATCCTGTGTCACCTGTCACTTTTTGTCACTGTGTTTCTCTCAACGAAGGACCTCCGCATGCATCAAAACCAGCTAACCCAACGTGCACTCCTAGTGGTATTATGAAGTTTTCTAGACAGTGTTTCCCAGTCCGCTACGCTTTCCGCAACAAAAACGCCGTTACTGCACAAGCGCGATACTAGTTTTGTCTAGAGTGTTCCGAATCTCGTAGTGAGCTGCGCAAACGTTGCAGCACGTCGGAAATTATCTAAGGCCCGATTATCCGCCTTATCTCACGATGTACCGCAACCAACACAACGCACCATCGGAACTAATCTATGTCGGGGAGCATATCATCTGACCTTCCTGTTGAGTGGGCCGACCCGCAGAGCGTGAAGTCACGTGGCGTGCAAGGAACGCTTGAAAAACATGGCTGTAATTTTTTCTTCTCGTTTTTTTATGCGGTATATTATGGGGTTAAATGGAGTATAGATGATACAGAGGCTACTGAGCACAAAGGAAATATGCATTATGATCGCCGCAGGTTCTGAATTTGCGGTTTCGGCAATTTACTTCCTCAGACGCGAAGAGTCAATGAACATCTAACAAATGGTGTCCTCCGTAAAAAAAAAAAAAGCGAGGAAGATTTTTTTCGGCATTGTTGTGTTTTTTGAGAACCCAGACATTATTTTTTTAATAATTATTAAGAACCTGTTTTACACGCAGCGTCATCGTTTTCTCATTATTATGCTTATTATTATTTATGGCCAACATGTCTGATTAGCTCCAAACCGCTAAGAAAATCAAAACTATACTTCGCTTCAAATTAAACGGCAACACCGGCTAATTCTAAGTAAGTTGACGTAATGACTGATTAAATATCCCGATGTGGAATTAAAAGTTTCTACGGCATTACTTTAAAAAGAAAGTGTGATATTTTTCGCGCAATCTTTATATAAAGCTCTTCACAAACCGAAACCGCTCCTGCGGCATCACCTACATCTATTACCACGTGGTACATATCGTGACGTCACGCACCGGGTGACTGAGCGCAGCTCGGCGCAAGGGCGAAAGTGTCGTCTGCCACGATCGGCAGTCTGCTACACCCGACGATGTTTGTACTACCGCGGCCGCAGCTTGTGTTTTACAAGACAGAAGAAGGAAAGTTTTCCCAAGGGATTGTTTTCAAAATATTGGTAGAAGGTCAAGTTCAGTGACATATTGAGCATGTGAATATGTCACGACGGTTTCGTAGAAGTATGCCGTGCTCAATGTCGCAAACGGTATCTCTTGCACGCTACCGCGGACGCTGCCTGCAATGACACACGCTCGCAAGGGAGCACCAAGGCCCATTCGCCTTCCGCGATTCACGTGGTCAACGATACTATCGTTGACCAAAATACTATCACGATACAAATGTATCGCGATAGTATTTTGTGGATACTTTTAAGTATCTGTATTTTTGTATTGGGATACATTTAAAAACTTTATATGTATCTCATCAGTGAAATACAATGGACCTTTTGTAGAAATACGCGGTGCGCATGCGCGGAGTATTTGATGCGCCTGGGTTCGAGAGTATCTAGTTCTAAACAAACCGCCATCTTGCTTTTCTCGCCTTTGCGCGCGTTGGAGACCATCGAGAGTCAAGTTTTGATGTTGCGAACAAGGTGAACGCGAGTCATCGTACTGACGACGCCCGTTCTAGATTATGGCGTGCACCGCAATCATGCCGGTGAACTGTGTAGCCTTCGGCTGTCACAACTATTATCGCCCGGGTTGTGGAAGTAGCTTTTTTCGCTTCCCGTGTGCTAAGCTTCATCCTGTTAAGCGGGCAGCCTGGATTCGTGGCGTCAGGGGAGTTGACAAGTTCGACCCCTCAAAGAACTGGAAGCCGAGTCAGCTGTTCAGACTATGTAGCGCCCATTTTATTACAGGTAAGTTGACTTTTAATTTTTGCAAGCGATAGAGCTTTGCGAAGTGCGGCGATGATCACATCTCTTCGATTGCAGGGAAGCTGGCGTTACACAAGGCACACCCGGACTATGTCCCTACACTGTTTACCTACTCGCGTCCGCGGCCGTCAGCCCTCGGTCGGTTTCAACACTGGCCCTCCAGATCATCTCTTTTTCTTCGTCTAACGGCAAAATAAACACTTATAAAAACCTTTTAGCCTAGTATTCAACGGGGTGTGGCAGACCGCAATCTTCTCCTTTTTCTTCGATGGCCAAGGCCTCCAGCACTTCACGCGCGAAAGGGTTCTTGTTCCTATGAACGGCGGTTATGCCGGTGAGCTCGGCATCGCATCCACAGGTCCGGCAATGAGCTGACAAATGTCCTGCTGATGTGCTTCTCACCGAGGCTGCGTGCTCCCTTGCTCTATTATTTATACATCGGCCAGTTTGGCCGATGTATAAATACGAGCAGCGAAAGAAAACTAAGAGGAGCAAAAAGAAAACGAACCGGTAGCACACAAGAAGCCTAACGTGGACGTTGTTTTCTCTACAAATACTCTCCAACGCAGTGCGCCTCAGGTTCGCCCCATAGGTGGCAGCACATATTCGCTAAAAGGTCCATTATAGTGTATCGCTTGCATCGCATTACTTTGCCAGACTTTAGCATATTGTTACATTTCTTGCTGAATTTACGGTAAATTTAGAAAATAAAAGCGACTGCTTGGGGCAAGTTCCTTCGGAATTCATCATATGAACCCGTCCTATAACATAATCTATCTCAGTCACCGACACTAGAAAAATAAAAACTGTGGTTTACAAAAGGTTCAGGGCTAGAATAACAAAATCAGCTCCTTTCACAAAGCGCTCAACGCTTTCCAATTAAGCAGAGCGAACGCTGTAAAGGAATGGAGTGGAGAAAAGGTACGGCGCTGTTGTGCAATCTCCCCACACTATGGGTGACTCGGATAAGAAAACAGTTTGAGATGCGCCCTCACGGCAAAACAGGGTTCATTTCATGCAGACGCCTTTTTATCAAGTATGGCATGCAATCTTTACTGTTCAGTAACTATGTAGTTCACAGGAGGTGGCATGTCTTTTTTTTTAGCGGCATTATTTATAAATTTAGAATTCAGGCTAAGGGGAAGTCCATAAAATGACACAAAAAGAGGAGCACATGCATAAATTAAGCATTGCATTCGCCATGAACTACCTCCCTACGTAGCACAGTTCGTGAGCAAAGGTTTTTTTATAAGTATTTGTCTCTGTATACCGGATTATATTTTCGCCGTTTGCGCATAAGTATCTTAAAGATGTGCATAAGTATCTTGGAGATATACCTTAGCATAAAAGACAAATGTATCACAGTATCTGTATTTTGTGCTTTAAAATGCATATAACTCAGTATTTGCATTTCCGAATACTTTTTCTGCCCAGACCTGGCCCTGAGCGTGACGTGGGTACACAGGTTGGGCTGCATCGACACGGAGGTATTGACTACGCGTGGTTGGCTTCGCCTCGCTCAGCCCACTAGGATTGGCAGATTTTTGTAATTTCGTGCACTTCACGCTTGGTTTACCAGTTTCATTTTCTTTTCGGCAGAATTAGATCAAAATATTTGGTGTGTGGTCTTTTTGGGCGATACGAAAACGAATAGCATAGTTTTTTTAATACGTAAAATCAACCTGAGTTCCCCTTTAAGTCCATATGCTGCTGCGGGGCAATTTTATGAATCAAGCAGCGTCAAAAGCAAAAGTCACTAGGGACTTGTTTTTTGTTTAGGATTAAATCACCGATGGTAGAACACGCACAGTAACATGACAAACACCATGATGGTGGCTGTGCTTTGTAATCAGTTTGATTAGTACCATCAGATCCTAGGATGAGCTGCGTCTGCGCATAAAAGAATCGAATTATACTCTTAAGTTTTAAACTAGCGTGCCGTATAAAAGCACTTGGTTTCACTAGTAGGTGCCGTAAGACCACAAATCTTGGGACGGATACAGAGAGAGGGTGATTCGCCTACGCACCTCAATAACGTCGTCAACGTCGTTTTCTTTGGTGCCCCGGATGACCGCCTGCTGAAGTACCTGCGTCCGGTTCCGCTTCTTGAATTGGGCCCCGATGAAGTAATGGTTGCGGTACAGCTGGTAGTTTTCGCGGGCTTGTGCCTCCAGCCAAGTCTTTGGGTCAATGCCGCCATCAAGATGCTCCACTTTTGCGCCTCCTTCGGACTCCAGCAGTCTTTGACACAAAGCATAAATTATTTTTTCATTATACTTTTACGTGCTCTAGTCACCTATTATTCTGTTAAATTAGCTTGACTGCTAAACCCGGACACTAAATGTAATGTTCGCGTTATAATATGCGTTAAATGATTTACAGTGACTCGTTACTTAAAGTGCGTAGCATTTATAGGGCCAGCCTTAGCGCACTCGTGCCCACGGATGTAGTTTCTATTGTGCGTGCAGCATGGAGCGTGCAGCGCGGAAAGTGAAGTCGCCATTTGCACGCGGCGTGCAGTTGGCGACTACTCTTGGAGCGAGTACTTTCCTCGGTGTGGTCTCGGCAGCAGCAAAGTGGAGCACATGCACTTTGAAGGCTGTAGCTCGCGGGCTTTGTGTATTACCGAAACGTAGCAGGGACGCGGCTGCAAAACGAGAGCGCAGGGCCTAACAGCGACAGGAAACAAGTTGCCGTTACACAGCGGCCAACTTGTCCTTCAAACAGGGCGGCGCTATACATGCCTTGCAAGTGACGTCAGGTTAGAAAAGGGGCGGCGCCCCTTGCCATGTTGGTGGTTGACTGGCACCGCGCGTATGCCCATGGCACGGCGTTGCGCACCGCTCGCGGCCCTCACGAGTACAGAAATGCGTCGCCTTTCCAACAAAGGTACGTAATTCCAAGTTCAAACACCGTGTTCACGCAAATCTACTATGCTGTTGAGGGAGTATGCGCAGAAGTGGCCAGCGTCGGTGCGATCGCGCTATGAGGAAAAAGTGTTGATGTGCGGCGGCAAAGATCCACTTTCGCTGTCAGTTGACGAGACCGTGACCGATACAAGCGCTTATCCCAAAGTAGAAGAGTGCGACGTGAAGGACTATCTTGTCGGCAAGACAAGCTTTATTACGCGGGAGCAGTTCAAGGCACACAAGTCACTGGAATCGCACAATTATTTGACGAGTGGGGTGGTTCAAGAGTGCGACGTGAAGGACTATCTTGTCGGCAAGACAAGCTTTATTACGCGGGAGCAGTTCAAGGCACACAAGTCACTGGAATCGCACAATTATTTGACAAGTGGGTGGGTTCAAGAGCCGCGACTGAAAGTCCTTCCAAACAACGATGTTGTCGTGATTGGCAAGGTAAAAGACTTCCAATCTAACCATAACGAAATTTCATGTTCCGGGTTGTTCGTGAAAGATCTGTCAGGCGTTCACTGTAGGTTGTAGGGTAACTTGGGCATTCCGTAAAACAAGGGGGCGGGGGCAGCGGCGGCGGCGGCGGGACCACAAAGGTGGCTAGTTCTGTGCACGTAAGCAGACGTTCAGATGCGCGAGTAGGTTCGACCGGTACATCGGGAGCCACTCTTTGCACATTAAAACGTCTGCATACAGTATCTATGTTAAAAGGTCGCTAAATGTAGTGAAATCTTCCTCTTTAATATTTTGTAGGTGAACCACTCCCAAAGTACAAGGGAAACAAACTTGCATGCAGCCATGGATACTAGTGAAGCAGGACGGTGAAGTTGTTGTTGCCCATTGCACCTGTATGGCTCGTCTCTGGGAGGCCTGCTCTCACATTGGTGCAATCTTATTCTACCTTCAAGTGGCGGTGAAGCACAGAGACTCGCTAACTTGCACTGACAAAAAGAATGAGTGGCTTCCAGCATACTGCAACAAACTAACATGCGTTCCAATAGCGAAAGTTGACTTCTCATCTGCAGTAGCTAAGAAAAGGCGAATGGATGAGGGAAAGCCATCAAACACTCTAGCACTGCGCGGACAAAGAACGGCCCCATTGAGACCGACCGACGAACAGTGGAACATATTTTTGGACGACGCTCAAGCATCAAATTTAAGGCCAGCCTTTCTTTCGCATGTTGATGGCTATGCAGAGTCCTACGTACCGACAGCTGCAAAGTACAAGTCCGCCCTTCTGTGCACTTTGTTTAAGGACTGCGCAGCACCATCATGGGAAGAAGTCTCCGAGGAATGCGACAAGTTGGCAAGCATCATCAGAGTTGAACGAGAGGTATGATCCGTGGAAATGTGATGATGGCGACGTTTTCCTAATTTTTCTCTTTTTGTGCAGGTTCTTCACCTTATTGAGAAAGAAACCAGAGCCCAGTCTTCATGTAGGAAATTGTTTTCATTTCGTGCCGGTAGGGTGACCGCATCATGCGCGAAAGCGGCCTGCTCCACATCTATCGAAGACCCCTACCAAGCCTGGTGCAGAAGATATGTTATCCTAGTAAACACATCTTCACCACAGTAGCGACAACTTGGGGCATCGACAATGAACCCCAATCAAGGGCACAGTGTGTTGAAGCAATGACTAGTCGGCATTCAAATTTCAAGTGTTGCGATTCAGGCGTGCACATCAGCTTCGATCACCAGTTCCTCGCAGCTACACCTGACGGAGTCGTGAGTTGCGATTGCTGTGGTGCAGGCGTACTCGAGGTGAAGTGCCCGTATAGCCTGCGAGAGTGTACTGTCATAGAGCTCACTTCTTGGAACAGCAGTAGTATCACTTTGCCCGATGGAGATGTCCTTCAACTAAAACGAAAACATGCACATTTTGGCAAATACAAATGCAGATGTTTGTGTGCTAGGTGAAGTATTCAGACTACGTTGTCTAGACGACGAAGGAGATCTTTATTGAAGAAATCTTTCTAGACAATGACTTTTGTGCCACAATGTTGCTGAAAAACACGCACTTCTTGAAGCGCGTGCTGTTGCCAGAGCTGCGATACAGGTATACATCACAACCTGTACAGAAACAGACATACGAGAATGTGGGAGACGAGGACGTCTACTGTCTCTGTGATGGGCCAGAGTATGGCAAGATGGTAATGTGTGATAATCCGCAATGCATACGAAAAAGGTATCACTTTGCATGCATCGGCATGAAGAAAGCACCACAAGGCCAATGACTGTGCAAAGAGTACAAATAAAGAGAAGCACCACGAGGTCAATGGCTGTACAAAGATATAAAATAAAGAAAATTGTGTTCAAATGAAAGAAGCAAAATGTTGTCTATTTAGACCTCATAATTAGGTTTCCCCTCTCAAAGAAATTTTTTCTACTAATTCAGGGGCATTTGTTTTCTGTCCATATACTGTGCTCATTCTCGATGTGGCATTGATAGAAACTTCTGCTGTAAATGAACTTCCATCTCTATAAAGCATTTTAGGAGAAAAGTATACCTAATAAACACACCTTTTTATTGCAAAATGGGTAAATGGAAACAATTTAGAGACTATGCAATAATTACTCACCACAAAAATTAAAATATTGCATCATGACACTCCTAGCAATCACAAAGGTGTCCCATGGTGCACATCAAGGAGCAATTACTTAAGCTTGTTGAGAACAATCACAATAAACAGCACGCTGTCAATAACTCGTGTGCTATATACGGCACTCGTTGCAGCTTGAAAAACGAGCAAAAACAAAAAATGCACATACCTTGTTCACTCTTAACTTAGGAAAACATAGCATAGAAAACTGGACAATGCAGTTCCTGACAAAAGAAAAAAAGACAATCTTGCAGACAGTTTAGTGAAGACAATGTTCCAAGACGCACACAAGCAGAGTTAATGAAATTGTACAACAGAGCTGCAAGCACTCGTCAAAGCACAACAAACAAAAACTATCTTGTCCAGTGTGGTTGCATCATCCTCATGAACTGCAGAGAGCATGTCTACAGGCACGATACTCTTGGTTATCATATACTTGTTCCTGAGGAGTCCTATAACTCTTTCTACGTGAATGCGCACATTGGCCAGCTTCCTTGTGGCCTCCACATTCCAAGGCGCTAGCTGGGCTTGTCCCCTGGTGAATGCATCTTGAGTCGAGCAGAGCAGAGGCCAACAGGCTCCGCAATGGTGAAGCCTCTGTCAGCAATGACCAACTCGCCAGGCTGCAGGTTACCCAGAATCCCGCAGCTTTCAGTGATGAGCTTGTCGCTCGAGCGGCCGCACCACCCCCTAGAAATATAAGTTACTGTTCCTTGAGGAGCAATTCCAATTTAGGTATTTCACCGTATTCTGGTGTTCATATTGGCTCCATGCGAGGCACCGGGCAAGATGAGAGGTTGGACGCTCGATGAAAATCTCAAAGCAGTCAAGGATGACTGCGACGTCAGTACTGAAGGCAACACGGAAGCACATCGGCATGCTGTGAACGAGCTGCTCTCTTGTCGGCCACCTGACCAGTTTTTCCAGGCCGAAGTACAGGCCGTCTATCCACTTCATCACAATCCTTGAGACGGTGGCTTCGGAGACGTCAAACCTGGGATGACAGAAAGGAGGAGGAAGTATAAAAAATAAAGACTGAGTGGTCAATACAGACGAAAAAAGAAACATTAATAGCCTTTGGAGATTGAGACAGGCCAATACAGGTTGTAACACACAATGTAAACTGTGCATGTTTTCTGACAGATAAACAAAATACAATACCTGAATGCCAAGTCCCGGAGAGGTACATTCAGCCGGAGCCGGATCAGTGTCACCACAAACTCCTGGAACTGAGGCAAGGCGTTAATGGGGCTGTGCCTCACCAGTTCCTTCACGAGTGTAAAAACACCATTCAAAAGTTTGCAGTTTGGTAGTCCCGTATAGAACTTGGTTAGTTCGTCGCTCCTCAGGAAGGCAGCATAAGTTAGGCACCGTGCGTTCAGGCTTTCCCGCAGGGAATAGACCTCCACCCGAAGTCGGTTGACCTCCTGGTTTAGGCGATGGGCAATTTCCCGCGAGCCGTCATCTGCCTGTGTTCCGGGAGAATAATGATTTGTTACCCAGACTGTTACACAAAGGTTTGGTAGCACAAGTTTGTGGGTGCTATGGTAGTTCGAAACATGTCACCAGGTTGCCGGCAGGCTATCATTTATGGCCATCTCCATGAGGTGGCCAAGGGCACTGAGACACGAGAGGGGCACTCCGCCTTTTTGAAAAGCCAGCATTAAAAGGTATGTGCAAGGGCTTTTTGGGTCATGGCACGCGACAATAACGCCAATTAATGACT